GAGGGCCCCAGCTGGAACCCCCTCCCGGCCCGCCCTCTTCCCCACGCAGCCGGCGAGAGACAAGCCTTTCCTTACCTACCTTACTGGCCAGCAGCAGCCGTTTGTGCCGGTGCCGCCTTCCGCGCTGCCACCGTACCCCAACCCTATGTCGGTACAGCAGGCGCAGAGTCAACAGCAGCAGTCGGCGGTGGGACTGGGTCAGGGGGAGAAGAAGCCGTATGAATGCACACTGTGCAGTAAAACCTTTACTGCCAAACAGAACTACGTCAAACACATGTTTGTCCATACTGGTGAGTTCAAACGCCTCGTGTTTTATTGAAGTTAACAAGCTCGCTTAAATTATAGCGTTGTCCATTGTTAATGTAGAACAGAGGCATACTGTAGTAGTAACAGCTGTACTTAGGGGGGGGTGGTATGGTGTGTGTGTGGATGAGAGCTGGAGCTTCTTTTTATTGCACTTGGCGTCCATATTGTTGTTTTACTGCCTCCTTATTAGGAATGCACTGGTTCAGGAAGTTTGGGCCGAGGCCAAAAACATGCGGGAAAAAAAAAAATCCGATCAGGTCACTGACCCCTATATGATGATACGTTTCTGTTGATTTTGATTTGATGGTGTTATTAAGTCAAACCATTAAAACTAAATAATCTATTTTTCTAATTTTCCGCGCTCACATGGTCCGAGACGGAGGTTTATGAAAAAAAAACATCTCTGATAACGCAGTCTCAGGGGAGGTTGGAAGAGACGGCACGAAAAACTCTCACGTCTGTTGAAATCTGATTTGATTTGATTTTTTTCTCTCTTATGTTTAAACCCATCTTCAGCCAATCACTGAGGTCACGACGAGTGGAGAAGAACATCATGAACAACTGAAACGGTTTTAATAATTCGATTAAACGGTCGTGCTCGACACTCACTGAATATTTGTTGTACACAAAGTACAAAAGTACTGCTACTTCAAAACACAGTAACATTTGTAAAACTCGACTGAAACTCACGTAACCGGGTCAAACATAGAACCACCAGGTTAGGTCTGGTTTGTTGAGACAGTTCGCAGTAGTGTGTGTACTCCTTAAGTACTGCAGTAACAAGAATAAGTAACTTCGCAGTACTAACAAATCATTTCATTTCGTCGAGTTAACGCAGTCTTTGAAGGCGTACTTCAAAGCCAGGACTCTCAAGAACGTCAAACCGACGAGACCTAATGTTACCAGTACTGAGGGCAACAGCAGCTAGCTAGGATGTGAGCTAACCCGACTACAGCTGGGTTAGAAAGGTCACCTTTTACTTCATCCATCCATCCATCCATCCATCCATCCATCACTGATAAGAAACACACAAACATTAGCACGTTGTCGATGAGAATAATTTAAATGAATATTTTTATGATTGAGCCAATGAGAACACATCGTTTCTGGTACAAAAATGTTGCCTTGGTAAAAAAGGAGTTATGAACCCAGAGATATTTTTTGTTATTTTATTTGAAGGTTTCAGAGCTAAAAGAACTGAGAACTGATACTCCCATTTAACAGCACCAGGTCGCAAAAAGCCCAGACTGTCGTCTGAGGTCTCAAGGTAATCGTACACAGAGCGTCTAAAGGTGTAAAGAGTAAAAAAGAAAGCGCTGTCGGGCCGGAGCTGCCTGTTTTCACTCACTGTCAGGTAGCCTGCGCTGCTGACAGCCTTATTAATCACAAACTGAAGAAATTATCATCACAGAAAGAACAAATTGGATATCGTACAATTAGATGATCTCATAAAAAATTGCGGTACTCCAACAGCCATTATTATTCATTAAAATCCATCTTCCGGCCTGAGCCGTCCCTTATACGGCATGAAAAGCTATTTAAAACCAAATTTTCCTTTTGTGCTCGCATCACTTGTGCGGAGAGAAGTGATGGCGAGTTGAAAAGGGAAGTCACTGATTGATCACCACCAGGGAGCAGATCTGAGCGGCCCCTAAAAGCCGGGGCCAGAATACATTTACAAAACCTTGGAAGAAAAAAAAAAAAAAAACCCATCATTTTTAGAAAAGGTATATTGATAACGATACAAAAACCAAAGAGTCCCAAAAAAAAAAAAAGCTGTTAATCAAATTAAAATCACTTATTTTCCCAAAAAAAAAAACTGTTAATCAAATTAAAATCACTTATTTGGTCGAATAAGATGGAATAAATTAAGAGAAACGTTTTCTTTACCGAGAAAAAAAAAAGATTTACATGAACTCAAACTTAGTTGTTCATTCGTTTTTTTGACGCCGTTAGAGACAATTATCTCAAACTTAGTTGTTGTTGATGTTTTTTTTGACGCCGTTAGAGACAATTATGTAAAACCACATTTGAACAAACTCACAAACACACTCTGATTCCTCAGTCCACCGTGTGTGTGTGTGTGTGTGTGTGAAGCGACTCAGTCTTTTTTTTTTCTTATCAGAAATGATCTGAGGATAAAGTTATTAATATTTCAGAGAACGTCCTGAATCTGTGACATTTGATAAAAAAATGAAAGAAAAGTTCCAGCACTTCCTTCTGTGGTACTTTTTATATTACTGTGTGAACTGCAGTGACCAAATGGAATTAGAGAATAACAAATGCCTTCGGTGGTGGAGGGCTAATGTCGTTAATTCTGTACAAATCAGGTGTGGATTTATTTCAACAAAATATTTTGTGGTTTTTGTTTATGTTTATAAGCCAGAAAAACTGAAAGTTTGACTGAAACATTCAGAAAATAAGTTAAATGAGATTTAATTGTAATATTAATGACCCTGATGTAACTAACCAAAAGACAAACGAGGAGATTTATTTATTAGCACAGACCAAATTCACCTCGACGGATGAGTTTTATATTGAAATTATTTTGACAATTAGACAAAGTAGAGCAAAATGTGTTCAACCTAAAAAAAATAATAAAAAAAATAAAAATAAATTGCTATTGTTGCCGAATGGCTTCATCATAAAAAATGTAGCTAAAGGATTGTTAAAATGAGACTAAAAATGAGACCAGGAATAAGTAAAAGTTAGAAGAAAAGGTAAACGTAAGGCTAGCAAGACAGATCAGAATTAGCTAAAGCTAAAGGCCAGAATTAGCTAGAGAGGTAAGATGAACCACAACTAGCTAAAGCTAGCCTAGAGAAGTTTGAAGACAGATCAAAAATAGTTAAAGTTAGACCAGAGAAAGTGAGAATTAGCTAAAAGTTTGAGTAGAATTAGCACGAGGTGAAACAGAAAAGGCTAACGGTTGAACCGAAAACAGCTAAAAAAAGTCAGCAAGGACGATATCGTAAATGTCACCGAAACCTATTCTAAGAAACAGGCCAAACAAAACAGGTCCATGTGCAGTGATTGGCTCCAGGACCAGACTTTGAACCACATGGAGCTGATAAACACACATCAGGTGTAAAATAATAGGAAGAAGAAGAAAAATGATTTTATTTTTTTTAAATCACTTCTGTCACGCTTTTGAAGGACGTGAAGAACAGAAATCTGAATTCACTGATTCTAATTTAAACGTCTTCTATTTTTGCCATTTTTTTTCCCTTCTTCTTCTTTCATTCTTTTTTATCTGAATGCTTGTTTTGTTTTGTTTTTTCTTCCCTCCAGGTGAGAAGCCTCATCAGTGCAGCATCTGCTGGCGCTCGTTCTCCCTGAAGGATTACCTAATCAAACACATGGTGACACACACAGGGGTGCGGGCCTACCAGTGCAGCATCTGCAACAAACGCTTCACCCAGAAGAGCTCTCTCAACGTCCACATGCGGCTGCACCGCGGAGAAAAGTCCTACGAGTGCTACATCTGCAAGAAGAAGTTCTCGCACAAGACCCTGCTGGAGAGGCACATGGCCCTGCACAGCACCGGCAGCGGCATCACGGGGCTGTCGGGCGCCGCCTCCGCCCCGGGCCCCGTCTCCATTCCCATGCCTATGGCCGTCCCCGAGCCCGGACCCGGAGTGGTGGCCCTCGCCATGCCCATGAGCGGAGGGGCCGGAGTCGGGGCCGGGGTCGGAACGGGAGTGGGCGTGGCCGCGGAAGCCGGCTGTCAAGAAGGGACCACCTACGTGTGCTCCGTCTGCCCCGCCAAGTTCGACCAAAAGGAGCACTTCAACGACCACATGCGAATGCATGTCTCCGATGGATAAGTACAACCAGATAAACTTCTTTTTTTTTGGAAAGAATGACAAAATAAAAATGGCACTAGATTTTCCTTTTCTTATTTTGAGGTATGAAGAGTAATGAGTATAGACACTGGCACATTAAGTTTCCCAAAAAAAAAAAAAAGAATTATTTCTGTTATTCTAAAAGAAAAAAAAAGATGGTGGCCTTAAGGCTTAGTAGTTTGATATTGATCTACTGGATGGATCCGAACTACAGGCCTCTAAATGTATGCTTTCCTAAAATACTGATTTATGTGTTGAACACTACCGAAAGGCCTACGAAAGAAACACATACACACAACACACACGTTTAGTGTAGACACGTTCGACTTTGACTATCTGTCTGTCTGTCTGTGTGTGTGTGTGTGTGTGTCTGCGGGTGTGTGTGTGTGTGTGTGTGTGTGTGTGTGCGTGTGTGTTGCCATGACACAAAAAACATGGCTCCTGTAAACCCATGCTGACCAGTTTGGAACCTAAAGACGTCCAAGCTTACTGTGGTATCATTTTAACACAACACCAATAACAACAAAATATATATATACATATATATATATATATTCACCTGAGGTCGGGCTGAATACTCCCTCCAAGAATACTGACGGTCACAAGATTGCCTTCTTCTGAAAAAAAAAAAAGAAAGAAAGAAAAGAAATTAGAACGAGGAGAGAAGTTAATTTGACACTGGGTTTTATTGATGGATTCAACTGCAGCTGTTGTCCAAGAGTTCAAATATTTTATCTGAGAAAAGTAACTTCCTATCAGTAAAAACAACGCGAACAAATTTTCGCCTGTTTTTTTTTTTTTTTAATTAAATTGTGCACCTATTTTTCCAAATGTTTTCCTAAATTAAGGTGTGTCGATGAGACGATTTTTTTTTTTTTTCTATCTTTGGAGAGGAACTCATTTTTGCATACACTGCCACTAATATATTAGAAGACTGTTAAGGCTCGTGGACCTCTGCCATTTCAAAACACCAGTTTAAAAAAAAAAAAAAAAAAGGAAGGAAATTCTTCTTTTTTTTTTAAGGCATTTCTCATTCACACCCTTTTCTTAAAGGCTGAGGCTGGAAATTGCGACTAAAACTCTCTCTCCTTTGTATTCGCTGCTCCGCAACTCGCACCTGAGTGTTCCAGGAGGAAGACGGAGACAAAAGACCATTTAAAACCACAAGCATTGTTTCTCAAACGGTCAAACACACACACACACACACACACATTTTTATGAAGCGTTCAGTGTGACATCAGCTAAGGAAAAGTCATATTGTCCCCAAATTGTCCAATTTTATTCCCAACAATACGAGGCTTGGTTTTCCAGGATAAGAAATCAGCAAAAAAGAGGACGAGAAATATTCCTGAATTTTTCCTTTAGAATTTAAGGAAAAATCTGACAATTGACAGATTGAACAAAAATCAAAGTGACGTTTTCCAAAATTAAGGTTTCAATACCGAGCCAAAATATTTTTTTAAATGTTTATAAAAGTAAACCAAATTTGAAGCAACCTTAATTAGCTGAAAAAACAAAATCAAGAAACTGAGAATAGTTAGAATTTTAATCAAAAATATCAGTGTTTTTTTTCCAATTCTGAGACTAATATTCAGACACGGAGAGTTTAAAAATGTAAAAATGAAAAAAGTTGAAATTTTGAGAGAACTTTTGAATCTGAGACCAAATCAAATTAACAGCGGACGCAGGAAATGAAATGAAAAAAGTGAATAATTTAGAATTTCTCTAAAGTCAAGGCCACGACAACAAAACAGAATGTTGAAAATTCACTTAAGAAGAAAAAAAAATAATCTGAAAAAGTAATGAAGTAATTTTGCCTGAAAAAAGAAAACCATGTCACTCTGACCTTCATTGTCTTTCTGTCTTCAAGGACCAATTCAGATTTCAGTCCAAATTTTTGTTCTCATCATCAAAGCACAAATTGATCAGTGACCAACACTGGTGTCACGACCCTTCAATTGAGAAACGCCTAAACTATAATGAAGTTACTGATTCAGTTTTTTTTTTTTTTTTTTGAAGCCACATGGGGGCAAGTTGTTGATCGGAGCAGCGTTAAGGAGGAGGAGGAGGAGGAGGGGAAAGGAGAGGATAAAGAGTCTGAGACATGTGAGACCCGGTGATTTGGTGTCAGATTCCAAATCACTGAAGAAATGTTTATATTCAAACCAACAGATACTAAGTCAAAGACCAAGACCAAACTAAGTCAAAGTTGACTCCCCAAGGTTTGAAGTTTGAGTCTGACTCATGTGCACCGGCGCTCCCTGCAGGCTCAAATGGCATACGACGGTATAAAAAGAAATGGAGTATCAAAGCAACACGAGTCGCTCCATTGATTGATTCGCCCGCTCTTTCACGATGCACCGCCAGTGGCAGAAGGAGTCAGTAGAGGGTGGTATACATTCCTGATCTGCTTTTATTAAATCCTGACGAGGAAAAAAAAAAAAAAAAAGAACTAGTTCTCATCCATCCACAATCCAACCGTTCATCCAACCCTGCATCACTTCTCCTTAAAACGCTCATTTCACATGATTTGACACTGGCTTTTGTGTTGCTTCCTTACATCCAAATTAGGACACAACCAAACACACACACACACACACACACTCCTCCCCTTCCTCCCCCCCCCCTTTTCTCTATCGCACACACACACACACACACAGATTTAACTGCCTGCAACTGCAATCTGAAGGATTTGCTCCTTTTGTGCGAGCAAACACTTTTTTCGTAGTTGTGTCGTCGAAAAGAGGAAAAAAAAGAATAACTAACTGCGTACAGCGGGTCTTCAGAAGACCCCGGCTGTAGATTTAAAAAAAAAAAAAAGTGCTCCTTTGCACATTTTCTTAAAATGTCCGTGCTTAATATTTAATCTTTTTTTTTTTCCTTAAATGAACTTCTATGATTTTCTTTTATCCGATTTCAATGGAGAAATAATGAAAAAAAAAAAACCACGAGAACTTTTTTTAAATCTTGATAAGTGGACTGCATTATTTTCTTGCATATATGTTGCACTGCTTAAACCAATAAGTGCACTACTGTTAACAGAGATATTATAGTTTTAGAAAGAAAAAAAAAAACAAGATTTTTTTTTTGTTTTGGTTAAATATCTCACATTTGGTTGTAGAGTTCACGCGTCGTTAAAACGAGAGAAAAGGAAAAAAAACGGCTTTTGTTTGGATTTTATTGGTTCATTAACGGAGCGGTTCTTGGCTTTGGTTGGTGCTTGCAGTTTCCTACAGTTTAAAAATACTTGTGCCGTGTTAATGCAAGCGTTTTACTTTGGTTCACTCTGTACTGTCGTGTGTTTGCTCACCTATGTTTGGAAAATACTTTTTTTTTTTTTCTTTTTTTTTTTCTAAGAGACAGTATATCTTATTTCGTTTTCCTTAGACAAACAGAGGAGAACTTTCCTGTGGGAACATCCAAGCCAAACAACATTGAACAGTTGAACAGCAGTAATAATAAACACTGCTCCACCACCCGCCCTGCAGGGGGAGCTAATAATAGTCACTCTACAGTGTGCCCTGTGACTATATATAAATATATATATATATGAATATATGATGATACATTTATGACGTGTGTGTAACATAAATGATATGTGTGTGTGTGTGTGTGT